GAAGACTTCAGGACGTCTACAGAGCATTTTCATTCAAGCTTTGGTGGAATTTCAGAAAGGGGATATCGTTATGGGCTCAATTTATGAAAGCAAAGTACTGTAGACAACAACATCCCTGCCAGGTAGAAATCAAAACAACGGACTCGGCACTCTGGAAAAGGATGGTGAATGTGAGTCGACAAGTGGAACTTTCTATGCTATGGGTGGTCAAAGATGGAGCTTGTCATTTTTGGTACGACAATTGGTTGGGTAATGGTGCATTATTCCTCCAAGCCACGGTTATCCCAAACTTATCTTTTAGTAACTTTATCAGTAATGGACATTGGGATACGAGTCGGTTATGTCAGTCACTGCCAAGTCAAATGGTGACCTCCATTTTAAACCACCCGGTCCCCGAAGAAGGGGGTGAAGCGGAAGTCATATGGATGCCTACTTCTTCTGGAAATTTCTCTCTTGCTTCAGCTTTTCGGGATATTAGGCAAGCCCGTAACACGTCAATGGTGTTTGATAGAATTTGGCATCCTTGTCTTCCTTTGAAAGTTTCTTTCTTCATGTTAAGACTGTTGCTGGGGAGACTGCCAATACCCGACAGGTTACGTAACATTGGTTTTCATCTTCCATCAAAGTGTTTTTGCTGTCCATTGGCATCTGAGGAATCAATCGAACATTTATTTTCAAATGGCAATATAGCATCAACAATTTGGAATTATTTTGGAGCTGCATGTGGATTTGATTTATCAGGGTCATCTTTGAGACTCCGCATAGTGGGTTGGTGGTTGAATTCATACGATTCTGAGATACGTCGGTTCATTGGACGAGTTCTTCCCAGTGTTGTGTGTTGGCATATTTGGAAGGCAAGAAATAAAGCAATGTTTGACGATGTCCAGATGAGGTCGATTGCCATTTGTCATGCCATTTTTTCCGAAATCCAATCCATGGTGGGAATTTTTTTCAAAAAACCTCTCCGAGTACCATCATTTTATCATTTGTATGACTGGCCTAATTCATCGGAGGTTAGGTTTACATATAAACTTGTACGATGGGAAACGAAGGAATCTGGTCGCCTCACACTTAATACGGATGGATGTTCTAAAGGTAATCCAGGAGTGGGTGGAGGCGGTGGAGTTCTTCGGGATTCAAATGGCCTACCTTTGATTGGTTTCTCGGCATATTTTGGGGAAACAACATGTCTCCATGCAGAAGCTCGTGCCCTCCTTATTGGTCTCCAAATCAGTGCACATAGGGATTATTTGAATCTCTATGTGCAATCTGATTCGTTGATATTAATTGGAATTCTCCAGCATCGCATTCATTGCCCTTGGCACATTAGACGGGTTATTAGGCAGATTTGGCAGATCATGGAAGATCCAGATCGATTTTCCCATTGCTACAGGGAAGCAAACACAGTGGCTGATGTGTTGTCCAACGAGGGCGTATCTCATCCACAGCAGCAACTCAGGATATATGAGACATTTAATACATTTCCACCTATGGCTCGTGGAGCAATTCGTCTGGATAAGCTAGGAATGCCTTCAATTCGGAAAATTAGGCTTGTGTAATAGTTTGTTTTCTTTTACCTAAATAAAAAAGAAGTATCACATTCTCACAAAAAAAAAAAAAAAAAAGAACTATAATTTAGAATAGATGAAAAAGGAAACAAGCTTATTAAAGTGCGATGAAGCGAGTATTTTTCCTTTCGGTAGGGATTTTCTTGGTTGTTTATACCGGTGTCTATTTGTTTCCTGTGGCCGGTGAATTCGACCATCAGACGCACTTCGCTCTCCACCACAATAGCTCAGCTTGATAATTATTGAGTATACTCCTCATTAATTCTATTTGCCTGTACCCACAGCAGGTCGTTGGTACACTACCCATAATGTAATGATCCCCATCTGCACATTTTATTTATATAAATGTCAATTTTATATATGTATTATAAAAATATAAAATCAAATCTCATAAATAATAATTTCAACAAATATCATTAAATAAATTTTAAATAATTATTTATTATTGCACACGCATCAAATGTGCTTTAACTACTAGTATAAAAGAAGAGGAGGGGGTTTACAAACATTATTTGTCATTTTATGAACTTTCATTTTTATCCTTATAACAACTATTTTTATTTAACTACCTAAACATATATTTATAGCTAGTTGTATCGAAACATGTTTTGCTTCAACTATTCACTATTCAACATAATTAATTCTAAACATTATAGCTATCAATATAACAATTATTATGTGAATGAAATTTAAGAGATTAGATTTTACTTTAACAATGAAAAATGCATTTACCATAAACATTATGTATTTTTCTATTGCACACCTGTGTGCAAAGCACCAGTATATACTGTATAATGCTTATTGATGTTACCACTTGTTAAGTTTTAATACATTATTCTTTTTAGTTTATGTCAAAATAATGGTTATTATTTTTAGTTAAATTTATTAACCGAGCAAAATGTACCGCATTTCAGACATTTTACACATGTAAAAGAAAAAAAAGACATACTCTCCAACATCATGTTAAATTTCAATTCTTTAATATGGTAAAATAGTTTTGGTACTTAAATTTTGAAGTCTATATCATCTCAATTCTACCTACATTTGAATCCTCAACTTAAAGCTTTAAAAGCTGAATGCTCTTCTTTCAGTTTCTATGTCTCATGGTTTTCTGTGGACTGTGTCTTCCAATGAAAAATAAATAAATAACATGGGCACTGGGCATTCTTCCTCAAATTAATCTCCAAGGTCAAATCCATATTGTCAGACAAGAATTAATACAAGGAAATTAGACCATGACCCATGTGTTGTTGACACTTCCTTATTTGTTAATAATACTTGTTGGCCCGTAAATTTTGCGATTATAGGCCTTTCGAGCTTCTCAGTTGTCTTTACAATAGGGAAAAGCTCAGAAAATTTGTCACTCCACAGCTTAAAGTCCATCACTAAGTAAATTGTATGCTTAATTAAAATCTACTCACTACTGCAAAATCATGAAAACCAGATTTTTTATCAAATGAAAAAAAAAAAAAACAATGCAACCTGATATATTGAATTAATGCAACTAATCATTCATGAGAATACAAAGTGATGATCAAATATTGAACTAGTACTAATGCATAGCCGATTAGCCTCAAAATTCAAAAGGATATCATGCAAACTTTAGTAAAAGCAAGAGAACAAAAAAGGGCTTTTATTGCCATGGATAAAAATTTGTCTCACAGTTGGCAAGAAAATACAAGAGTTGATATTGCAAACTATTTGATCACAATTCTACGAGGGATAACGGAAAAAGACACAATAAATGAGACAAATTTTGGTAAAGTACACAAAAAAAAAAGAAATGCAGCAGCATCGGGAAATTTAATGAAGTATAGAAAATTTCAGAATCATGGGAATACAGAAATAGAACCTCTAGGAAGAATGTGAAATACCTGGTGCACTGTATGGGGGTTTTTTTTTACCATAAATCAAAAGACGTAGCCCTATTTTATAAAAAGTACATTAAATTAACAGATTGCTAGAAATTGTCCAGCACGATTGGATTTACATCACTATTCTAATGAAAGGTTAAATATGCATTAGAAATTAAGATCTATAATTCAATAGATACAATAGATCTAAAAAAATACAAGAATTTTTAAATTTGATAAATAGTTGTATCTCCCGTTTGTGCATGTTGTAATCACCAAATTTGCTAATAAACTGTTTTAATCTTCAATAATGATGATAATATCTGTCGAAATAGATCCAAGAACCAAAAAATTTTAGATCTAATAACAAAATTAAAAAAAATTAAAAAAACACAAAAATCTCCATAGGAACCCCTGTGAGAATAGAAATTCTCGCTAGGAATCTCTAGAGAAAAAGAAAATTCTTACCAAGAAAACTTAGGAGAGATTTTATTAATAAAATAAAATAAAATAAAATTCACGAGAGAGAGACCACGAAGCCTCTGAGAAGAGAAGAAGAAGTAAAGAATAATCAGAGAAGAAAAAAGGTAGAGAAGAAAATAAAATGTTTACAACATGTAGCATAACCAAGACAATTTTCAAATTCGGCACAGTTCGGGAAATACACACTAACATACAAAAATCATCTTTAAAGTGGACGTGTTTTAAGAAACTGGACTCAAAATCTTGTAGCTCTCATGACAAATCATTTTCAAAATCACTCAACCAGGATTCGAAAGTCACTTGAGTGACCACAAAATTTACAAGAGAGGTAAATATATCAAGCCTACTCAAGATTTTTCCGTATAGATATGTTCATTAATTTATTAAGTGGCAAAAAAATGTGATCATTCTCAAATCTTGCAATATGCTACTTTGAATTAAATTAGCAAACATTAGTCTAATTTACAGTACAATAATTTGTGTGATATGTCCACCATTTTGTTTTCTCTTAAAAAGGATCAATAGTGATTTTTGATAACTCAAACGCATGATCTCTAGGGAAATGGGGCAGGGACGGTCATCAGTATGACCGTCCCTGAGCAGTTAATGGCCATGATTTGGTCAAAAAATTTTGTGCGGTCCAGATAATAAGTTGTGCATCGATTTTCACACCGTGTGGGACTCGCAAAATTTTGTACTAAAATTACACGTTGTGCAAACAAAGTTACGTCGTGTGTAACCAAAGTTACGCCCCTTGTCCGATCTCTAGACGGTTATAGGTAAAGTATCTTATCAATTAAGCTGCACTTTCACTATCAATGTAACGTGTTCACTTGAAAACATTACAGGCATAGTATTTAAAAAACTTTTGCTTTAAAAATCTTTACGGGCATAGTAGTTAACAAGCATTTAATTTGTCCATAGTTTTTAGGTGTGTAACGCATTCAGAAATGCATTCCACACTTGAATGGAGGGAAAACCATCGTAAATATGTAATCAAATCCCCAGTCGCTTATGCAAAAAAAAAAAAAAAAAAAAAAAAGGTCTTCCCATACATATGATATCAGCTTAGTACTACATATCTAAAAACAAACATTTACATGTCTGATTTCTCTGGTTTTTTGGCAAAAGAAATGATAAGATTATTAAAGAAGCCTTTGCCCATGCGGAGAAGCTTTGCTGCATTCTTCGCAAACCTGTGGCATATGTCAGGTACAATAGCTTCTCCAAAATGACTTGCGAGGGTGGGTTCGTAAACTACTCTAATGAATGATGCCACATACGCTGCTCTAACATGTTCATCGCAGTATACTTGGGAATGGGATTGTAACTGGTAATCATCATCAATGGAGAAGCCAGCATCATGACGGAGCTTAAAAGTCTCCAGGTACAAAATTTCAAAAGAACCTTCCTCCTCAATTATGTACCTTATTTCTTCTACTGAAGAAGTATAGTTTGGAAGATTGAAACTATCCATTCTTTCTTCCTCCTGATGTCCCTGCAGATATGCCAATCATCAATTCAATTCAAATTATTTGAAGCGCGAGACTTGGAAATTAGCCAATTTGTTAAAACGTCAAGTCTAGCGTAAAATGCACAGTTTTTTTTCCCTTAATTTCAATATGAATATATTATTACTTGTGTTTTTAGTTCATACTTCATATAGAAAAGTTGCCAAAAAATTAAATAATGAACGATTTCTTCCTTTCCAATACTTTTTTTTTTACCAAAAAGGGAAAAAAATACCTGACAAATTAAATCCCACTATATTTCTAACTTTCAACAAATTAATTTGGTGGAGGCTAGACGAAACTCAAGGAAAGAATTATCTTAAATGTATTGAAGTTGTGTGATAACAAGCATCTAGAGATGACAATGAAAACAGATGTAATAGGGTGGGGAAGTGGCTAATAGGGTGGGACGAGGTGGAGGACATTTTTCTCCTCCTGTTTTAAATGAGGTGGGGGACGGGAAGGATACCCCCTACCTATCTGCCACCCCATCCCCTACTACTAAAATAAAGTTTTAAAAAATAAATATTTGTATATAGTTTTACACATATATACATATACACATTATAATTACATATCAATTATTTATATATGCGCGCGCGCGCGCGTGCATGTGTATTATAAATTAAGAATAAAAAAAATCATAATTTATATGATAAAATAATGATATGGCTATCTTCAATTTCCTTAAAATTTTTTACATATTGTAAGTAATTTACCTAAAAATAGGAAACAAATATGATGGTTATAAGTTTAGATTTGCCATTAAAAGTAAAGAGATGAATTAAAAAGATCAAAATAATTTTTAATCTCGATTTCACATTGAATATTTTACTAAGAATCTATAAAAGAGTGATTTATAAGGTTTTGATATTATATATGTAGACAAATAATGTCAAAATAAAAAATATAATTAGCCAACTGGGAGGACACCCATGGGGATGTGGGACCGGGCAGGGGGCGAGGTGGGAGGAGATTTTAGAACACCGGGCAGGGGCGCCCCTTGCCCCCCCCCCCTCCCCCCCTCCAAAAAAAAATTGCCATCCCTTAGTGAAGCATCTGATAATCATCAAAGAGACAGAGAGATTAAGATCTCGACAACCAAGTCCATTAATGCCATGTCAAGTAAGTCAAAGATATTCGGGCCGTCGAATTCATCTCCTTCACACATGAAAGTAAGGAGTATTCGGCCATGTGAAACCAACTCTTCCGAATGCATCCTTAGAAATGTGGTAAAATCTTTCATAAATTGGTCCAAATATGCCTTTTGGGCGGGCGGACAGCTTGCTTTGGAAGAGTGAATGCTCCCTTTATTCACACTGATCCCCGATTCAGTCACCAAACCACTGGGAACCTGCACGTCTAAAGCTGGTAACTTATATTGTTGGAGCATTTTGTTAGCGTTGCATGTGGGAATATAAATCATGAGCCGCGAATTTTTATTTTTTTTTAATAAAAATGTTGTTGGTTTCTTCAGAAATCTCTTTCTTGGATTCTTGTGGATACCTTGAGATTGAATGAAAATCATGAACGATTTTTGCTACAAGAGAAAGGAAAAGGATAAAAGGGATTAATTCAAAGACCTGAGATAACCAGTGAAGACTGTAAGAAGGGTGTAAAAAATGCATGGACTCCTCGGGGAAGAGTCTGCCGTAGAAAGAGCCAGGCATTGTGGCTATCAGGCACGATCCTATTTTGCGTCCGTTTTCTTTCTCAAGTTTGCGGTAGAAGCTTGGCAGCGACTTGAAAACCGAATTGAAATCATTTTGGAAAAGATCATTCAGAAAAATCTGAATGGTGGGAGGTTCGAATGCATTCTTCTTTTCCTGGCCAACTTTGTCGACACTTTGTATAATGTTCCAAACTGTTAAAACTGTGTTTGGGCCAGAAGCGCATCCCAAATCCGCAACTTTAAGGCACTTGTTGATGTTGGGTAAGTTGGCCCGCAACAATTCTCGTAAGCATTGTTCAAGGGCAGGTTTCACCTTGGTGAGAACCGAATTCTAGATACACCACTCCAAAAAACAAATGTTAAGGAGGAAAAAAAGATATACTATTTTAGAGATCAACGTGTCATAGCATGAGTTAGTACTACTCTGTGTGTGTGTGTGTGTGTGTTAAAGAGATAGAGACAGAGAGACAGACAGATTTGGTAGGGTGAATTCTTTGCGTAGCTTGTGTCGCCTTCACCTCCATTCATATGCAGTACTTAACCGAATCGCAATGACGGAGCAGGATTTTTTCTTTTTGGGGGGGGGGGGGGAATTTTTTTCGAACAAAATTACCTTAATTTTCAAAATAATTTCATTTATTTAAATATATGACATCTTATAATATCAAATATTAACTTTAATTATAAAGATATGTCTATTTCATAAATATGTAACAGAGTCATAACTAAAATTAAGACAAGAAATAATCTTTGATTAAATGTCTTATAACATCACAAACCACTCATTATGAGAAGATGCTCCAATATGTCACTTGTACAAAAAAAGAAAATATAACTATTTTCAATTAAAAAAAGATAAAAGTTATGTTAGCATACCTTAAAATTTCATCCTCTTTTATTAAAAGTAAATTGAGATTTACGTTCTTTTATAGAACTAAATTCATGTATAATTGAATCAATGCTAAATTTTCGAACAACTTTCTTTTTTATGTACATTGTTAGGCAATCATTCAAGAAATTATCTTTTATCTTGTATTGGAGATTTGTTTTGATTATCTTCATAATTGAAAATGTCTATTCTATAGACTATAGAACGGAGCCAGGATTTTTTCCTTGGGAGGGGGGCCAAAATTTTTCTAAACAAAATTATCTTAATATGTTATATTCAAAATAATTTTCATCTATTTAAATATATGACATCTTAAAATATCAAATTTTAATTTTAATTATAAAGGTATGTCTATTTCATAAATATGCAGCATAGTCATAACAAAAATCAGGATAAGAAATAACTTTTTATTAAATATCTTATAACATCACAAATTACCCAAATTGTACATTATGAGAAAATGCTCCAATTTGTCACTTGTGCAAAAATAAAAATATAACTATGCAATATAAATATAACTATTTTCAATTAATAAAAGATAAAAGTTATGTTAGCATACCTTGAATTTCAACCTCTTTTCTTAAAAGTAAACTGAGTTTTGCGTTCTTTCATAGAACTAAATTCATCTATAATTGAGTACTAAATTTTTGAACAACTTCCTTTTTTTTATGTACATTGTTAGACAATCATTCAAGAAATTATCTTTTATCTTGTTTTGGATCTTTATTTTGATTATATTCATAATTGAAAATACCCGTTCTATAGTTGCAATTGACATAGGAAGAGTGAGAATAAATATAATCAATCTATCAACAACAAGATAGATCACTCAATTTCTTGTCTTCACCAAGCCTTCAAGTAATTATTTGTATATTTGTATATGGGTCAACAAGAGTATAGTTCACTAATTTTAAATTTTTTTATCAATTAGGCTAAGTTGTATATTTGTATATGGACCAATAAAGTAATTATTTTTGTTTTAGCCCATTGATAATTATGAATTGAGTCTTTTATTATAATATATCAAATTGGGTCAATTTACTATGGATTACCAAATTATATGTTTAATTTTTTGAATGTTAAATAATTAGCACGATAAAAAATAAATAACTTTTTTTGAAGAAAAAATTAAATCAAAGGTGACTAATTCATACGCACATACATATATATATATATATATATATATATATATATATATATATATATATATATATATATATATATATATGTATAAACTCTCATAATATAAATTAAAATTGTAAAAAATTAGGAGGGCCAACTTTATCTTATACATATATTTACATATTATGAATTAAAATTTTTAAAACTTAGGGGCCATGGCACCGCTCAGCCTCCCTTGGCTCTGTCATTGCCGAATCGGGACGGCTGAAGAAAGTGTCGGTTAATGATTGATGGTACAAAGAAGTTTCGGACTTAAATAGCGGAAATTTCTTAAATCAAAAGTGCATTTGAATTGACAGAAAATCTGTCGACTAGTCAAACAGAAAGCCACGGCCATTGGGAACGAGACACAAAGGAAATGATAGGCATATTGTAGAAAAGTTATATTTATTATTCCCTCCGTTTTATTGAAAGTATCATATTTTCATTTTAAAATGTTTCAAAATATTTGTCATTTTACTAAAATCAAAGTTACTTTTGATCTCTTTTTATTAATGTTAACCTCACATTTATTTATATTTCATACTAAATTCAAATTTGAATCTTGAATTTTCGAAGGTTTTTGAAAACAAATCCTCTAACACTGCTATTGACAGGTGTTGAGTCTGTGTAATAATAAATACTTACTTAAAAAAATATTAATTTTATATATAATGGTGAGTAGGATTGAATCCATAGGGATTGGGGATAATTTGTTTCTTTTAGAGTACAGAGTATGGGGGATTTTTATAAAAATGAGAATAATTAAACAATTCAAACAAAAAGACCTAACTGATAATTTATTAAAATTGAAACAATAATAAATAAACTCTAGCCAATAAATAACTTTGGAAATAGTTCATTCAATTGATCATGGATGTAACAATAATTTCATTTATTTACTGATCATTTATTTACTGACAAATAAGTTATAACTGCCAAACACGCGATGACAGTCAACTTTTCCTTATTGTATTGGTAATTAAGGTATAACTGTTAACAACTGCCCTAATCAAAAAATAACACTAGGTACAACCTTAGAGTTTAATTTTCCAATTGTCTTAAGAATTAAAAAATCCTTATTCTAACCAAATAACACGCTACAATAGTTATTTTAAGTTAACCCATATGTTCCCCTAACACAAATTCAATCATGCCAATTACCACTAGTTTAAAGCAATTAAATAATTACGAATTTAATTACTCTAGTTGATATGAGGTTATTAGATTAATTTAAATACCAGGCCCTTGATATTCAAATAACATAATAATCATAAGAAATTAAATTAGAAAACATACGAATGCCAATAAATAAAAGAAACAAATGAAAACAATTAAATCTCACAATTATAGATGAACCAAATCCTTTATTATCCCTTGACTAGCAAAAGAAATTAGCCGCTCATCGTTGGGAAAAATCTCAATGCAAAATTATGGTGAATCTCGATGGACATGCGGCCACCAAAAACTAAGAACTAAAGTCTATCGTTTCTCTCTCTTTTGAAGCAAAGAGTCATGACCCCTCCCTCCCCCAGTCCCCCAAAATTCTTTTCTTTCAGAAGTACTAGTCAAGCGAGAAAACCAGCCGTCTCAATTCCTACTTTTTCTCCTAGTTTGTAGCATGCTAAAATGAAGTAAACTCCCAAGTGGAAAAGGAAGCTTCAAACGATAATTTTCATTACTCCCTCCCTTTTTTTATAACAGACGTTTGCACATCAATTAAGAAAAGTTTTTCATTGCTTAAATCTGTACACTACTTTTCTTTTGTACCCTCATTAATTGTCCAATTCACCCATGTTTTCTCTCACTAGAGTACTAAATGGTGCTGTTTTACTAGGCCAAAAGTAGTAATTAAGAACCCTGTATTGGAAAAGAGAGATAAAAGGGTAAAATTGTGAAAAAATAATTAATACTGTATGGGGATAATAAAACGACAAATAAAAGTACACTAGAGCAAATTTCTTAAACGTCAGTTATAAAAAAAGGGAGGGAGTATTTTCTAACTAAATCCTATAACTAATAAAGCTATCTCATAAATTTTCAGTCAAAATTTGCTCAAAGTTTGACACGAACTACGAAACCTTTGCTCGCATGAAAAATCCGGAGCTTCTCGGACTTGACAACAGATATTGACCGCGTCCACATCAAACTAGTTCAAAATATTCTGGAAGATTGTCCCTTTAACCACTTTTTCTCCACTTCCCTATAACTAGTACCAAATACTATTGGAGATTGCAGAATATTGTGTGTATATTTTGTGCATATATTTGGGCTGTAATTGCGTAAAGATAGGAGCTCTGTTTTTGGTAGTTATTCTTTGGTAATTGTTTTGGTAGTCGAGATAGAGTAGGAATTGATTTCCTTTTGGTAGTTACGGTAGAATTAGGAACCATTACCTTTTTCGATTTTGGCTTTGCTTTGTATATATTTTGGGGCCTGAGGGTCATGAAAGGATGGGAAGATTTTTTCCACAATTTCTTTTCATGGTATCAGAGCTATGAACGACGACACGAAGAAACAGAATGGTGAAGGAAGAAAATTTGTCTCACCATACATCTTGACGGCGAACGACAATCCTGGGAATATTATCACCCAGGTACAATTGAAAGGGGACAACTACGATGAATGGGTTCGAGCAGTGCGAACCGCGTTGAGAGCCAAGAAGAAGTGTGGCTTTATTGATGGAATGGTGAAGCAACCCGATGAGGATTCTCCCGATCTGGAGGATTGGTGGACTGTGAATTCAATGGTGGTATCATGGATTCTCAATACCATAGAACCAACTCTACGATCTACCATAACTTATATGGAGATCGCAAACGATTTGTGGGAAGATATCCGAGAAAGGTTTTCTATTGCTAACGGGCCTCGAGTTCAACAGATCAAAGGGGAACTTGCAGAGTGGAAACAGCGAGGACTTCCAATTGTGACCTACTATGGAAGGTTGAAGCAATTATGGGAAGAACTTGCGAACTATGATCAGATTCCGACATGTCAATGTGGAAGATGCACGTGCAATCTCTCAGTTCAATTTGACAAGAAGCGCGAGGAAGAAAAACTCCACCAATTCTTGTTGGGTTTGGACGACACGATGTATGGAACGATTCGTTCCAACATTCTAAGCACTGAACCGCTGCCTAGTGTCAGCAAGGCATACTCTTTGATATGTCAAGAGGAGCGTGTCCGGAATATGTCAAAAGAAAAGGAGGGACGTGGGGAACCCATGAGCTTTGCTATTCATGCCAACACAGGAGGCAGAAGACCTGGAACTGGGACAAAGG